TGATACGGTAATACAGTATAATACCAGCAACAGAACGCCCGCTACCGCCTGACCGCCACCGAAATTGCAAGTGTTTTTATATAAAACTACCCAACAGATTCTGAATAGCAGAACTACAGTGGCCAATCGGGATCGTTTCCATGGAGACTGCACATACACACACACACACACACACACACACACACACACACACACACACACACACACACACACACACACACACACACACACACACACACACACACACACACACACACACACACACACACACACACACACACACACACACACACACACGCACGCACGCACGCACGCACACACACACACACACACACACACATACACACACACACACGCAAGCGCGCGCGCGCGCACGCACACGCACATGCACACGCACACGACGAGGGTGTATTTGTTTGGCTGCAGAGCTGGTGATTTGCTTCGGAGACGAATGTTTGTAATGGCTTTGTAAGTCAGTGCAGCCGCGCTCCGCTCCACTCCACATGGATCGAATCAGACAGAGGCGTAAACTTGTTCTGAAATGGCCTCCCGCAGCCCGACCCGTCCCGGTTGTCGTTACGTCTAGCTGGTTGAAGCATGACCTGCCGCCGTGCTAACCTTGTGGTAGCCGGAAAATATCGACAAAAGCTCGTGTATTCAACTTTCCGAGTGCTTGCTGTTCTGAAATTTAAGCAACGCATGTAACGTACATGACACTTATTGTCAGGGTAATCTACTCTGCACACGGCAATTTGCCTAACGTCAGTTGCAAGGATGAGACAGCAGGAACGCAAATTAGAGAATGGTAGTCTTTCCGACCGTATCTCATTACATTTTCAACATACCGGCACCAGCCTGAAACTGGAGCTGAGAAGAATGAGGTAAGAGCTGAAGTCGGAGCTGTCCCACAGTGTCCTAGAAATTACAGCGCCTTTCTTCAACTCAGTAATCACTAGGTTTGCTTTGCTAAATTTGGCTGTACGTGCTAATGGCATTGTATGGATAGAGCAAATAATTACAGATATTTTCATCACGTGCTCCGTCTCTCCTTCGATATGACTTTCTGCATGTACAAAACATCCAGTTCCAGGAAGGCGGCACAGTTTAATGCATTTTACTATGGCTACAATTGAGTATTTTCACGCTGTTCATTTTCACCCCATAAATGTCAGTTGTGGCAAAATTGCCTCAAGCCTATGAGCCGTATTTCCAAAATTTAGCGTTTATGGTGTTTGCTTTTGGTGGTTATGTATTAGACACAAAAACATGGAAAAGCGATTCGTCGCAACTGTCTAGCGGTAGATAACTGAGACTAACGTTTACTATCATTGAAATTCAATGCTGCCTGACCATCATCCCCCTCTCCCCCCCCCCCTTACCCCTCCTCGCCCCACTTGCCTTGCTCCGAGGATGGCTTGGGGCCAAAAATTAGTCCTTGTATTCATCTGCGCGCTTTTCTCTTTCTATTTCATAATTGCCTCCCGCTTCAATTCGTCCATTCTTTTTTCTTTGGCAGGGAGGCGTACTGGACGTATCATCATTTACTGGCCATCTGCTGTGTTGCATATGCATTTTACACTCGTGGGAGTAAGGCTTGTAAAAGCGTCAGATATCGAAGCACATTTTTGGCAAGACAAGGCACCAACACTGTGACTGCACTGCCAGTTTTACAAAACATGTTTTCAGTAGAAGGTGATAAATTTCTGTCGGATTGGATTGGCCAGCTTCCTCAACAGGGGACTTGTAACCGGTATGGAATGGTCACGATTCCTCTTCTGTCGGTCACCAGGCCCCCAAACTATATGAAATAAGAGCGTTTGGTGGGTGCGATGAAACGACATCAAGGGGCTTGTTCCGCTCTCCAAGCCTTGCCTCGAATTAATATCGCCCAAAGCTGCAGAAAGATGACATAAAATATCGTATTCACGCACGTAAATGTAATAATTTTGAAAAGATTACGGCACGCTTGCACTGCTGTGTGCGTGAACTTCACTTGAAGATGAATGCTGAATTATTTACTGCGATGTTATTTACCGCCACGCCTCACACGGAAGTGTGTAAAGACGGTGATGCGACGAGTGGAGGATCCGACTCATCTACTTATGAGGAGACAACACAGCGCCATGGAACACAAGTTTAAGGAAAAGTTCACAGCTTTAAAAGGAAAGTTTGAACAGAAAAAGATCTGATCTTCGCGGTGTCGTGCTGAACACGCTTCTAGAAACTGTCTCAATTCTCTTGGTTTGGGCTTTCGAACGTATTTGAGTGTTGGTGGCGCAGAGGATTTCACGGATATAATTACCTCTAGCCAATCACCCGATGCCCACCGGGCGTGGGTTGACAGGCCGCGGGGTAGGGGGTCTTACCTACCCCATACTTATTCCTAATCAGGTAGGCCCGCTAGTTTCCCACCTATTTTTATTCTTGCGCCACCTTATTGCTGCATTGTAGCAGAGTTAAGGAAATATTCACCCAAACTTGCTCTTTTGAGACGGCAATTGCAAAAGTGGTGTCGATGAAGGTAACTGCGAAGAAAAGAGATGCCGACGGTGTAGTTTTTTAAGCCATGGTGAGAGGCCAGAGACATTTGTGATATTTCTTGAAGCATTTACCCGACATTTTGTGAACGTCCTACCATTACCCGTACATGTATACTAGATTTTCCCTAAAATTGTACCCAACTTAACCCGCTACCCATAGCAAATGCGTACTCATGGCCTTACCCAATCCGTGAAGTTGTAGAGCGTACAGTAGTGACATAAAGCGATATAGAGTATACATTATTCGAGACCAGTTGACACTGGTCGCGTCCCGGTCGATTGGTGACTGCCATCACCTGGCACACCTATAGATTGAACAAGGCTGAGATCACCTACCGATTGTCGAAACTCTAACCGCTTACACCGTGCAACAGGTTTTCTGTCGTCATCTGACCTGGACACCGAAATGTCTTCACAATCCTTACAAGCACCCTTAAACGGGCTAAGCGGCTTTGGTGAGTCACGAGTGGCTAGTATATTGGCTTCCAGAAGTGCAGCAGTTGTGGCGGGCCTGGCCTGGCCACCCTAGTCGAGCATTGCCTCACAGTTTCAAGCGCTGCTTTGTTGTTTAGACTTGGTGGAGCATCAGGCTCCCATGATTGTGGCTGTCCATGAGAAGCCGGAAGCTGTGTGGCGCTCTCAGCAGCGTCCACGACGGTAAGCATCGGTGGCCGCACCCAATACAGACGTGGTCATGAACGGGGGCTCATCGCGGGGAGACGCATCGACGGCCGCACCCAATACGGACGTGGTCATGAACGGGGGCTCATCACGGGGAGACTCGGGCCGCGTGAGAGTGGGCCAGCCAACCGGAATAACCTTCGGTTCTGAAGGGTGTTTTGAAGTATTTTTATGGAAAAGCATCAACTGAAGGCACACACATGTTAGTTCTACAACGTTTAAGCCAGCACCCGTCGTTGGCTTAGCTTTTTGATGATTTAGCAAGATGAATGTTGCTGCCCTGCCTTCTTTTGGGCATATTTTGCAAGCCTGCAGTTTTCTTGTCATTCTTTAACCCATATGTGCCCATATTTTCTGGTAGTAATGCGTCATTCTCTTCTGTTTTTCCCGGAAGAACCGGGTCACGCCGGCCAACTTTGCCCAATGAAAAAATGTCCAGTTTGAGTCGAATATGCTGACCATATCCTTATACATTATGGGTTGGAAGCTCTTTTTCTGGTAATAGCCCACCCTCAATTTACCAGGAGATACTTGTCAACCGACGCTATTGAGAACGCCAGGCTATATGTCATGATAAAACATATTTCAAGATATCCTTATGGTTAAAAGTGAGCTCGTGTTTTGTTTGCTTGATATTGTCGCTTAACCAGTGCCTACTGGTCAGAATAAGGGACATTCTACCTCTTCACGCCGAAAAACAAGGAACTCGAGGTATTTCTTGCTTATATTGCTCCTGATGGCCACATTACCTGCCCATGTTGCGTATCATACAGTGCCCGACGCCTTCCTACACCAGTTCACTTGATCCCAGTGGAAATTTCACTGTACGCATGTATGACATGTAGACATTTTAGTTTTCGATCACATAGTGGACTAGACTGGAGTAGCGAAAAGTCAAGGGGTGGGGGATAATTTCAGAAACCATCCACTGTAAAACTCCTGGATATCATCTTTCCTTTCGCATGAGGCCGCTACAGGATTTCAAACCTGACGTTTCGAAAGTGGCCTATGTCTCCCTATGTTATCCTACGGAAGGCGTCTGTTTGTTGACACACTCGCTCTCTGCCCACCGGTCAGACTTTTTTCGACCTTTTTATTACCAGGAACAATTGACACTGGGTGTCGCGGCACTTCACAATGCTGGTATAACAAGCAGTTTCGCTGTGTGCGTCGATTGGCTACAATGTTCAACGCACAGGCAACCTGATGTACATACGTGGGTGTTGCATTTTTGTGTTATGGGAAAAATTCAGGGCAGTGTTGCCATTCGATGATGTTCGTGTTACCATCCCAGAATGCGGCGAAATACTGCTAACCGACATCTTGCTCCAAAGTAGGCATCGGCTAATAGTTAGATATGATTGCACAAAAGCGGCAATACTTCACTCAAAATTTCTTATTGATCAAATTTTCCACCTGCAGTCCGGAAACATGTGAAAATGTTATAAAATATGAGCACCTTGAGCGCGTCGCAGCTGCTGCCGGTCATTGTGCTGGGCATGGGCAATGAAACGCAAGCTACTGCATTTACAAACGTTGATACAGACCTTCATGTTGGCCCTGTTGAGACTGTCTCTCCCTCTCTGTTGAGAGGACTCCTGTGTATCAAAACACGCCGCACCCGATCTGGTTGGTGTTGGCAGGTTCCAGGCTTTGCTGCAGGCGATTGGCCTACAGTTGTTATTTGTCGATTGGCGAGGCTCCATAGGCGCCCAGACAGTGAAGCGCTGGGGCTGGCTGTGAGGGGAGCGGCACAGGCTCACGTCTCGCCCTTTTCAGCGGGCGGCAGCGAACAGGAGATGCCCATGGAACTGGACGAGTACTCGAACCTGCTCGCCAACCTGCTAAGGAAGTCGTCTCAGAAGTGAGTATTGCCGCGTCTTTGTGTGATGCTGGAGGAATAAATCGAGAACAACCCGCCTGAACTGTTGAGTCACTTGACAGATTTAGCTGAGTTGCATCTTATTTTTACTTACAAGCGTGTGGCATTGGACATCTGGCATTAGGAGTACGGTGGATTGTTTTAAGGCAACAGCAAAGTGATCGAAACGCCGTCGTGTTATTGGCCACAAGTGCGACTAATACCTGCGGTGTGGAAACGTGATAAATCGAACCAACTATCGATAGTTGTGGTTTTACACCCCATTAAACGAAAGTAAGAATTGCATTGCTCTATTGAACTCTAAAAAAGGATTAACTCTTACATATCATTATCAATGATCACAATAAATTGCTAGTAGTGATATGAATAGCGCAAACTTGTAAAATTACTTGCGCAGTTATCCACTGCCATGACGTTAAACTGTTATGAAACATCTGAAGGCGGTCAAAATGCGAGACTGGTTTTCATATATTATAATGAATGAACTCAGGGCTCAACGTTTCAAGTTTGCTCGCTGGTGCAACTAATCTCTGTCACGCGATGATGCATACGATGTCTGCAATATCTGCAGAACACGCTCTATTCATTTCATATGCGGCCAAAGGCTGGAGCCAACGTGATTAACTTTGACGTTTGACAAATTTGAATGTCCTCATTCTGGGAAACTTCTGTCGCTATCCTGTTGAACTTGATATACTGCGTTACTTATACTTATAATTTAACACTTCACCATCTATAATACAATATAACACTATATATCACTTCGCCATCCCGGCCAAGTTGGTGATGCAGTTGCTTAATGTCAACGATTGGTCGCGTCGAATGCATGTGCTCCGATAGCGACAGGCGAGCCCTGCAGGTGACAGCTGTTACACGTGACAGGGCTGACCGTAGATTTATCGCCGTGCTCGGTCCCAATCCACGCCCGTCGGCCGTGGATTAGCCCGTTCGTGACGCCGATCTCCGCCATCCGTCACAAAAGAGAGGAGCCACGGACCAGGCGCAGTCGATCCGTCTTCGTGATCCCCGGTGCCGTCGCTGAGATGCCGGAACTTTCCGTAAAGAGCCGAACTTTCTGGGGCGAGGCGAGGCGCCACCCGGTCGGCACCACCCACGCGGCCGGCACCATTCACCGGGCTAGAGTTCTCCTTTACGGCGGCCGAACGTCGCAGATCTAATTCCGGGGTGCGCGGGCTCGAACTGGGGGGGGGGGGGGGGGGCGTTGCGACCGAAGAAGACCGAGGGATTCCATGGACCCCCGGGCGATGGGGAGGTATGTGCGGGCGATGCGCCACAAGATGGTGGAAACACACACGCACAAACACGCAAGCAAATACACACAGTGGGATAGCTAAAGCGTAGCTAAACATCGTTGTACTAAAATACGTTGTGCGAAAACACCGAGGTTACAAATGGAACAGATGATGTAAATCTCGCCTGGCTTGTTAGTATGTACACAACGTTTCGTTGTGTGCGAAGGAGTACGATTCGCTGAACATGCAAGAAGAGGACGATATTCCGAACAATTAGCCATATCCGTAACATTATTACTTCGTCTTAATCCTTCCTTCCATACCGTCGCAAGACCGCAGGGAAACATATTTCGAAACAACCTGAACAGGGAAAGAGACACATTTTATATACAAATTACATCGTTCGCATAATGCGTCGTTGAAGTATGCCAGAAAATGTCACTTCTTTGATAGCGCTCTGATGTTTATCGCTTGGAGTCGTATTTGCCGAAATGTCTTCGATTTGTTGGTGCATGTTACCATATATCTGATCGTAATTTACACTCAGACCAACTGTTCTGATTTGAGCCCATGCTCTACGGAGCCATTTGACTGGCTTGTTTGGCCTTCAGTAGTCGCGTCATGCCGAACATGGAATTCAGTGGAATGAAAGCCCAAATAGCATGCAGGTGTTGATTCTTAGGGAGCACGAGGCAAAAATGTTTTTTTAAAGCATTCGTGTATATGCTATTAATTCCCACGTGCACTGAATATCTCACGTAGAAATACGCTGACCTACGTGTCATACATAAGCCGAGGTTTTAGGTACATCTGCGTCCCGTTCGGTTTCGGCAGCAGCTCCATGTCAGCCGCCTCCCACCAATATCCCGTCGCCGAAAGCCAATGACGGCCAAAGCGGACGCCGTGCCATTGCAATCTTGACAGCCCAGTTTATCGCCTGACCGTGAGGGATAAGGCGCTGCGCCTCCATGGGTCTGGCGAGGCATGGTTGTAGCTATTGTTCGGGCTGCGTGATGGAGGGAGACATCGCCGTGCGCCCCCAGCCAATGGGCCGGCCCGTCGAAGGCGGCGGTCCCGGAAGTGGTGATTTGTTCTCGTCAGCGCTGTTGTCTCACTCAGCCCCAGCTCATCGCCCAGGTTGCTCGTGAACAGCGAATCTGTTCTCCCTGCTGTTTCGAAAGAATAGCGATGATTTTTGAACATTTTTAAAATACAATTATCTAAAAATAAGCCTTAGAAAATAGCCTAATAAGGAATACATATAATAGAAATATAATAATAGAAAATAACAGCATCTTTAATTTATAGTTAAGAATGTCGTTTAGCTTTTGAGCTATTTTAAAGTCAAAGTTCTCGAAATATAGATCGATACATATCACCCGGCCTTTCGGACCCCCTCGCCATGGTTGATTATGACTTACGCCACCGGCATGCGAAGCGGTGACATCATTCATTGCAATGTCTTACTGGCGATGGTGAGCGGCTTTCTTGTCATTTGCTGGTCATTTGCGTGCACTGCTCATCTTTTGCACGAAGCTGGTCATCAAAGACTTATGCCTTAAGTGTCCTATCTCTACTATTATGTTCCTTACTTGGATGTTCTCTGTCTTCCCCTATTACCCTGATGGGTTTGAGCATCTCAGCAGTATCTATTTTGGCTATCGTTCAATGCTAATTCTCCACCTGCAATGCCTCATGTCTGGTTAGGAACCTTTAAAAGGCCTATCACTTGACTTTCTAAGGATTAAGGGGCAAGATCAACCTGATCCACGCAAAAATGAGACACTATTACAGAGCATGGACTGCTCATGTTTTCTTTTTGATTGGGTCCCGCAAGATCTTCGTATCCGAGGCAAACTGTTCGAACAAATCCGAGCAGAGATAGTTCCAAACAAGAACAGACAGAGCAAGATAGACTTTATATAGATTCATTAAAATATAATGTGTGTGTGCCACCACACTCATGTGTTGTTTGGGTGTTTGTCATGGTTCATAGAGCAATAGGGTGTGTTCCAATATATTATGTATGTAATTATATATGTATGTTGAATATATATATAACATTGTGCAGCAGGCTTCCTCGTAAGCACTTCTTGGCCAGCACGATGGTGTGAGCCCTCTTCTTTTAGTTTTGTCTAATATCTCGCAGCAAGCTTTTCGTGTTATGGATCAGGCTTAAAAGAACTTGGTGTGAACTTGGTTCTTATGTACCAACTAGATAAGACAATAGTAATAGCCTTATTCCTCGGGGAAAGCAGGAGCATGGAAAGCTATTACTACTGTCTTATCTACGTGAATACTGTTTCTCGGACATGCACTTAACAACCTACCTCATTATATGTCAACGCTTCATCAAACATATGACATTGTGAATGTAACAGTTCAAGATGTCTTAGACGTCTATCAATGCATTTATGAATGCTGCAAGCTGCGACAAGACGCTATACACTCTGGAGACGCAACGGGTTCTCTTGCACCGCCCGATCTGCCACCTTCACTTTGGGACCACTTTACAGCATACAAAGAAAGCTCATGACCGCGATCTTACTCACTTTGACCTGACAGAGAAACAGCCCTGCTCTTGGGAGCTATCTCTGGTCTGGTCCCAGTGCCGAGAATGGGGCAGCTGGACGGCCTTTCCAACCCCGCCTGGTCCGTCGTATTCAGCCCCGCCCGCAGTGTCTGAGTGCCATGCGGAACAGTCTACATCCGACCCCGCTGGAGGCCTTTGGCGGCCGCCGTTTGCTCGCCGCGACGATTTTGCTTCATAAGTGCAATCCAAGATGTCCGACCACCTCTTCTGCACCCACGGGCACGATATGTTATATATGTATCTATGTATATATATATGTATATATATATATATATATATATATATATATATATATATATCATTCAATATTACGGCACACTTACTAATTGTCTGTCGTTTTGCGCACGTTTCTATTTTTTCGGACTGGTTCTTATTGCTACCACTGAACTTCTATCAGTTTATCGCCAAAGTGTTCTATTAATTGCAATGGTTTATACCTCCGGGCAATATCATCAGACATCCAGTCGCAAAGATATTCGCAGATAACACACATGTGCACAATGTAGACCATCAATCACCACAACAAGCTGCGAGCAATTCATGTGACACAATATCAATAAAGTGGGCGGGCAGGCGATGACGAGACATTGGGACAAATCCGAACACAATTATTATGACTGTTTTTGCTACACATTGCATAGGTGGAGAAAAAATAAATAGGATATAAAATGAACGTTTCTTGAAAAGAGCTCCGGTGGCGTTGAAGCAGATAAAACACACAAGTGAACACGCTTTTTAAGAAGTTGTTCTAACCATCCCCCTTTTATAACCTACGTGCGAGAAGCGCTGTATCGAATGCATATATATATATATATATATATATATATATATATATATATATACATATATATATATAATTATATAGGCATGTATATACATATGAATATAGAGATTAACAAGACTGGGTGTCAGCCCCATTGCATTCAACACAAGCCAGTCACCGCATCCGGCCATGAACTTTGGTCTCTGAGCAGAGGCAAGGTGCCTAGCTCAGAGCAAACTTCAGACTTGACAGGCAGTGACGTTGCTGATCCAATACGCAGTGCAGTTTCTCAAAATCTGTTGGATAGAGAGATCGGCCCAGCATCGATCAACCTAAGATTCCTCGAATGCTGACTTCAACCCGTGGGTGGTGGACGCTTTATTGTGGCATTTGCGAGAAAATTAACGCGTGCACAGTTTATATAGCGTCTTCGTGTGCACAGTTTATATAGTGTCTTATAGTGTCTAGTGTCTTCTTCTTATATAGTGTCTTTATATAGTGTCTTAGTGTCTTATATAGTGTCTTCGTATTTCAGCCCTGTTGGGTGACACGTGCCGAGCATGACATCTTAGTTTAGAGGAAGCGCTGTCAAGTTGGAAGGGCTGGGTCCACGGAAGGGGGTCAGCCGTTAGCGGGGAGGGGGCGGGGCTCAGGTGTTGGGAAATTAAACCGCCTCAACTGAATGCGATCCAACTCTCTGGCTAGTGTGTTTGAATGGAGATAGCGGAGAGAGAGAAGAGAGCGTACAAATATGTTCTGAAAACCATGGTAAAATCCTCAAATCAAGTGATGGTCATTATCATCAAGTGGCAAAGTCTGCATGGTGGTCACGAAACCACCGTGCAATGTTGCTAAAAAAACACCACCATGGTAGTGACACTTTCTTTGTGTAACAACACGCGCAACACATGCTCCATGGGCTACCGAAAAGTTGGACGCGATTTCACGACATGTCGGAGAGGTATCCTCAGAAAACTTCAGAAGGCAGCGGTCGCGTCGACCGCCACCCTATCGGGGCCAGGGTAAAAGAATAGACTCATAACGATGTGAATACGTACAGATCTTGAGTGATTGCACTGCCTCAGCAATCAGCAGTATACAAAAAGCAATCCATTATTGATCACGTGCGTGCGCAGTTGGTGATGCCCTAGTATGCATCAGTGAAGTATAGATGCATTGAGTCAGGCTAGATAAGGGGATTTAGCCGTTAGAAGTGCATTATCGTGATTTGGATTAAGTTACGGTTGTTCGGATCGCCAACAATGATGACAATCTTCTCCTTAGAGGGCTCAAGCTATCACATCGAAAAGAGCTCATTCGTCCGTACTGGTTCACGGAGTTTATGTACCTGCACTGCGTGACTAGCATTACAGAGCTCATTGGTCCCTGGTAATAAGCCTGAGGTTAGCGTAACTTGAATCCATGTTTTACCAGCGTTTCCCGCACACCGATGTGTTCACAGTCTCACAGCAGCCGCCTTTGGACGCCTTAGCCGTCCCCAGCCGCCCCAATCGTCTCCACCCCATGTATGCGAGCGCGCTGTTCCCGCTGAAAGCCTTCTAATCGTCTGTTCAGACGTTCTCCGTTTGTGTACGTCTACAGGCGCTCCTGCATCCGACGCGGCTTCTCTTGCGACGCGCAGCCGCACGACTGCTGCGGCAACGGCTCGTGCCGCTGCAACCTGTGGGGCAGCAACTGCAAGTGCTTGCGCGGCGGCCTGTTCCAGGCGTGGGGCCGCCGCCGGAAGTGAGCCGCTTCCGGCCGGTGAGCGGCCGGCGGCGCGGCGCGCTGAGCGTGCTCCGGCCCGGAGCGCGGCGTTGACGGGGCCCCTCCCGGCTCTCGCGGCGCCAGCTCGGCGCCGGGCTCCGGGCCCGGCGCGCGGGCTGGGGCCCCGGTCCCGATTGGGGGTTCCCTCCAGCCACACCTGCCAATCGGGGCGGTGGGCCCCCGCGGCGGCGCCGGCCGGGCCCGGCCCGGTCGTGTCGCCGCCGGCCGCCCGCGCGCGCGCGCGCCGGCTCCCCGGGCGCCTGCAGGCACCCGGGCGCGCGCGCCGGTCGTCTCGTGCGTGACTTGGCGTAATACACACCTAAATGGATGTAGCGGTGTTTTGGCGCGCTGGGACGCGGGATACAGATGAGATCATTTAGTGGCCGAGGCGGAAGGCGGCTGAGCGACTCCGCGCCACGACTCTCCTGTACACGAGCCGGCAGCGGGACCTCTGGGGGAGCGGCCGCCGGTCGTCCGGCTTATCTCTGGCTGCGTCATGTGAGTAGTGATGAGAGGTGAGTGGTGTGATGCTGGAGGCACTGAGCAGTACAAGCCGTCGACAACTTGAGCAAAGCTGTGCATGATATGACGGCACTGAAGTGCCACGAGTTTGATCGGGCCTATTCAGTCGACACGCCTTGCTAGGAAACTGTTGCCTGAACGCTAAACGTCAATAAGTGAGACAAGGCACGCTATGGATGTGCTCGGTAGTTATGTCCAGTTTTCCCTTGATTATGTATGTTTTTGAAGACGCCAAATCCACACAACGGCTGAGGTTTGGCTCCACACTGGTTCCAAAGTTTTCCCTATTCCCGAGCCAGGAACAAGAGTCAAGAACAAAATATTGGAAACCATGCTCTTTCGGTCTGGTCTTTAACCCCGTTCTTTCGTGCATGCCTCATTTTATGCCCACGATTTATGGGCGTGTCGATCGGGAAGTTTGGAAAAATAGTTTCACAATGTGTTATTAGTAATTCACTGAGATGTTAAGCTGCGCAATTATGTTTCTGTCTTAAGTAGGGTTTGCCAACCGGCAGACCACTGTTTTTTCAATTATTTGATTTCGATATTTTGTATTTGGCTGCTATCGATGTGATCTTTTATCGTTATGAATCGTTGTGTCTTTTTACTTGTTTTAATTCCATTTTTCATCACTGTCAAGCTTTCTATCAATTGACTTTTGGTGATCACGGCCTCGGGACAGGCCTTCGGATTCACACGAAACCACCGCTGTGCGCCAGTAGGGCTCTTCGATGCCTCTGTTGAAATTTAGGGCACCTCATTCGCCGCACAGCATGTGTTTGCAGCATTGAACCGCAAGCACACCGCGGCCTGACAGCGCACTGTTTACGTTCTCTTCCGGCCTGAGCAGCAGCAACAGGCAATCTGCCTGCTACCGCAGAGGTCGATAGGGCCGTGCTAATCAGTTAGAAACCAGGCTCATCCGATTACGCTGAATATCTCATATCAATATTTATATCTGCTGAGACGTAGGGGCCAGGAATTTGCGTAGCGGCGCCAAGCAACTAGAACAAAGTTCTTGTTTACATTTTCCGACGTGAAGGAAATCCATCGTGAAGTGAACTATTTGCTTCCAATTATGAAGGAAATTGCGCCAGAAATCTACAAGCTCACCATGCAGTGCTATTGCGCAATGAGCGATTAGCTGACAGTGACGTCATTGATCACCTGATACCGTACTATTCACCTGGCCCGAGTCTGTTCGTCCAAAAGCTTGTAATCATGAATGCAATTTTCAGCGGCATTGACTGGCGCTGAAATCTTTTAAATCTGAGTGTAAGATACCAAGACGTCAGGGAAAGGGAGCTTGCCCTCCCCTCCAGGCAACAAGTGCGTATTAAGATACTCCTAAGATACTCAACTGACTTCTAGTTATCCGTGGCTACCCTCGCATCGTTAGCGTTCCTGCAAACCTGGAGCCATGTGCCTGAACGTTGTGTATTAGAGCACTGGCGCAATTTCGCAAAGAAATTAGGAGCTGAGCAGGGAAATAGCTAAATAAACCCCAAAATACCCAAAGGCTGGTTACTTCTTGAATGTGGTTCGCTATTGTGGTCAAAGCTGTGCCCTGGAGGTCCAAAATGAATGATAAATTTCACTCTTGTACTGCAGCCAGATTGTTCCGTGAAATATCAGAGCTCATTGAAGCGGTGTATTTTTGCATTAATAGCAGCGCAGTGCTATAGTGATGATTTACCACTGTCAATTAAACTGAACCTGACTGCGTAAGTGAAGCCCCTTTTCCACGAAATGACGTCACTGGTACTGACGTACCAGCCCAGCCCAATTATGGTCATCGTTCGTCAGCGCCCGCGGTCAGCAGTCGTCAGCGCATGCGGTCATCAGTCGTCAGTGTCTGATGGCCGTGTCTGCAGGCAGCGGACCTCCCAGCAGCCGCGATCACCGCTGGTGTCTGCAGGCGGCAGACCCCTCAGCAGCCGCGGTCACCGTTGATACCTGCAGGCGGCGCACCTCCCAGCAGCCGCCGTCACCGCTGGTGCCTGCGGGCGGCGGACTTCCCAGTGGCCCCCGTCTCCACTGTAGTCACGTCGCAACAGCCGCACTCAACCTGGACGTTGTCCACGCAAAGCCTGGCAGCCCCTTTGCAAAATTTGGAGGGGGGCGCGTCATCATGCAGAGGCGCAGTCAGGGCCCTGGCAAGGTGGGGGTACAGGGTTGACAAAGGGTCCCCTGACAGTAAAAGGCCTCCTCCCCATCCCTATCCTCTTCACTGGATATGGCTCATTTGCGAACAAAGGACATGGTTTTCTTCGTTTCATCATTATCGTTATCCTCTCTAACTGAGACGGGAGCCAAGAGCTACCGCGAAATCAATTCTGTTTGAACTTTGAAGTCAATAAGCTAAAGAAACGAGGTGTTAAGCGACTCCATAGGATCTACCGTCGATGCTTTCCATCTCATCATAGCTCAATTGGCTCATCCTAAGCCGATAGAGCTCAGGTAGCTTGCCATAATTTATTTTGAACTGTGCAGATATATTGAAAACCCCATGAACGTAGCCCAGACCGAAACGGGTTCACAAATTTGTATTAACACGGTCGACTCATGTTCATCTGGGAATTTAGTGACCAGCAGTGACCTTGGCTTTCAAGTAGAATTGATTAGTGAGGAAAACTATTTATCGTACTTTTGAGCATGCGTGCTCGCAAGACTCAGAAACAGACATTCCAAGGCACGGTGTTTCAGCCTCCAGAGGCCACGCGTTGTCGGCCGGCAGCTGATACAGCGGCCAAAGGACGGATACAAATGAGGACCCATCTGAAAGTACCTTTTAACGTTTTATAAAATCATCAATATGAAAAAATCGTCTTTGCGCCAATTCGTAAGTTTAGAAAGCTGTCCGGATGGACATTTCACCAGTGCGATTTTTGGACTGATAATAGGAATGGACAGCGCAGGGAACTGGTACTGAAATCTAGTGGTGGGGCAGGAAGAGTAAAGGTAGATTCTCTGCTTCCGTATTGCTGCAGCGGTTAATCCATTCAGGGACAACCTCAAAACCATTAAGGTGAATTATGGAGTTAAATCGCCCAACGTTAGAACTCATTTTGAAAGACTTTCTCAAACATTGCTTCACGGCGACCGTTCTCGCGTGCCGGGCGCTCTCTGCCTGGTGTTATCTGCAGCAGTCGTCCCCCGTTCGGTTTTACGGAAACCGGCACCCCAGGCAATAGTTGTCCTTGCTCCTGAGATTGTTAGCGCACAGACTCAAAACACTGCTATGCAGATTGTTTCGCCTTACAACTCTGTAAAAGTATGAACGTTCTCAGACAAATGTGGGTTGGCCTTTTTCCTTTTTGTTCTGATTGTGATCCACTCTTTCGAACACTTATGAGAACCCCTACCTTTTTCAGAGAAACCGGTCTCGTGGAAACAACGCTAGCGGGCACATAATCGTCCTCAGTCGGAGGTTTGGGAATGACCAGGTCGATCCAAGGGCCCTTGGAAAAATGCGTCATATATCGGTCCCTTCCCGGACATGAGAGGCTCTTTGACCCGCTCCCGAGTCCCGCTGGGCCCAAAACCCCTCAGAACCTATGGGGGGGGGGGCATGTACTCCCTGTGTGTGCCCCTTGCATGGACCACAATCATCATGTTATCTGAGCTCCGCTGACTTTTACACTTTACGAAATGCATTTATCATTTCTGAGACAAGTTCAGAAGATGTCTACACTGGGCATATGTCTCGGTAACATGAGGTCTAAAATAAACTGAACACTAGGTACCTCGATGTGACTCAACGACTCATGGTGCAAACTCGACCTTTACGAACGTCGACAATCGATCTTATTTGTGAATGCGTGTATTTATCAGTTTCTGCATACGCATATGTATTTTTCAGAAAGAGTAAGTCAATACAGGATAGTCACGTTGAAAAACATGGTGCATACTTCAGTAAGGACGGACGCTTGTGCCTGCTGTGCCAATTACCATTCATGGTGGAAAAAGTAAATAAAATACATATATTAAGTTGTCTGGAAAGATGAAGTGAACGGGCTCTCAAATAAAAACATGTAAAAACAACGCTCCGCCGGAGGAAGGCCGTTTCACACGTCACCATTCATTCTGAGAACGACATTTGGGAGCGCCGGCCCGACGCTTGAGAGGACCGGCTGCTCCGACTCAGCCAGCCGGGGTCGGGCGCTGTGACGACAAGACACCTCGTGACGGAAGCTGCCAGGAACCTGTGAGCCTTCAAGAACCTTGCAGAGCTTGAACGGTCGTACTCCTCAACTGTTTCTCTTCTGGACGACTTAAGACGGTGTGGCAAATACGTTACATGTTTTCATCGACATGCTTCAGTAATGACATGATCGCATCGGCATGATCCAGTAATGTCATGACCACATCAGCAAGATCAGAAATGGCATGATCGCATCGGCAGTAATGACGCGCTTGAAGATTCGCGACTGCTGGCATCCGGATCAGATGATCGGCTGTCGGAATCTTCCTGAGGTATCTTCCCACACAGAAAGGCGGCAGCGCAT